GGAGCCATGGCCTTGCTGGAGAGCCGCTTGTGGGGGCAACTTATGATCTCGGCAGGACGTGAAAGACAAGCCAGTACCACCCCCCTTCCCATGAGACTGCAGTTGCCCCGTTACTGCCGGCTCATACCTGGCTTTCCATTAAGCTCTGAGGTGGCAGCCACCTTGCTGCTGGGCGTGAAAAAGGTGGAAGGGAGCAGCACCCTTTCCCTCCTGGGGAGGCATGGAACCATAGTTTAACACATGGTCCATTCACTTTTCTGCCACAAGCTGCTGGGCTCTGGATTAAATCCTTTTGCCTCTGGAGCCATGGCCGTGCCAGAGAGCCGCTCGTGAGGAGCAACTCATGACCTTTGTAGGGTGTGAAGGATGAGCCGGTACCACCCCCCTTCCCATAAGACTGCAGTTGCCCTGTCACTGCTGGCTCATACCTGACTTTCCAATAAGCTGGGATTCACTAGCACTGTTCCCTATCCCTATACACCTGCCAGACTGTTGGTAGACACGGTGGTGATTGTATTCAGTCTCATCATTATCATGATCAAGGTTGGTGAAGATTATTTTCTTTAGAAAAATGTCAGAGAGAAATTTTATCAAGGTCTTTATGCAAATATCTGCAAGTTTAACATGTCTGAGGATAACTAACAAGTTTCAGTCAGCTAGGAATTCACTGGTATGCAAGTCCATTTGATCCTGTTCCCACTTCACCAGAATTATAAGTGAGTGGGGGAAAACTGAAAATCATTACTTGTGATCAGGTAAAACCACATTTCCCATGAACTTCAGGTTGTTTCAGCAATTGGGTGTCTGAGTGTGTCTTTTATAATTTTGTGCTTCTTATGCAGATGATTTGCAGGTCACTCTAGGCCAGAAGTGGTCCAAAGTCAATCTTATACTTTCAGAAAGTAGGGACAATTTTATGATTAGGTATTTTGTGGTGGTGTAGTGATCTTGCTTGTGTTTTGAATGGGATCCTAGTAGTATTATCTGAGATTGATATTTTGCGAGGCTGGAGCGATAGCACAGTGGGTAGGGTGTTTGCCTTGCACGCAGCCAACATGGCCGACCCGAGTTTGATTTCTCTGCCTCTCTCTGAGAGCCCGGCAAGCTTCCTAGAGTATCTTGCCTGCACGGCAAAGCCTGGCAAGCTACCCATGACGTATTCGATATGCCAAACACAGTAACAAGTCTCCCAATGTTACTGGGCCTGCTCAAGCAAATCGATGAACAATGGGAGGACAGTGATAGGACAGTGACAGTGACAGTGACAGTTATATTTTGTAAGTTGTATCCCCAAAGGAAAAAATGACCTGGGTTGGGGGTATGGTGTCACTAGCAAGTCAATCTCTACTGTGAGGCGAGTGCATCAGCAGCCTGATGGTGCCTTCAGACTTCCAGATACCCTCAAATTGTTGCTGCACCTTTGGCCAGACCCCAAAAACTCAGGCAAAGTTTACCAAGAAAGTAAACGGCCAGAAGTTAGGTATGTGAGAAACACACCCACAAACCACCTCCAGCTCAGCTATATAATTGGAGGCATGGCCCCTCTGGCTCTTGATCAAGCTGCTTGATGACCATGATCCCAGAGAGTCAGAAACAAATCTCGAAACCCAGTGGCTTTTGGCAGAAATACATCCGGACCCCACAGTAGGTTACAGTCGCCGGGCCACCCCAGGAGGGAAAGGGTGTTGTCCCTCCGCCTGCTCCCCCTTGGCGGCTCGGTGGCCGTCATCCTCCAGAGGCCATTGGACAGTCAGGCTTGGGCCCGCAGTGATGAAACTTGTTGGGCCTCAAGGGATGGGGGTGGAGCCGGGCCTGTCCTCCCCACCCCAACGAGACCCCAAGTTATCGCCCATGAATGGCCTCTCTGGCTCCTGATGAATCTGTTCAACGGCCATGATCCCAGAGACTCAGGAGCAAATCTTGAAACCCAGTGGCTTTTGGCAGAAATCCCTCCAGATTTAAGTGTTAAAATTTAGGAATTTCAAAATCACATGGCCCTACTGCAGCCACGCTACATCATATGTTATTCATAACCAGCAATAGAACACAAATTTTCTACTGTTGACTTTTTAGCAGATCTGAGTGTTGGGGTAAAATCCCAAATAATAATGGTGGGTCTGGTGTCAAAATATTGAATGTGATCAAAGTAGGGAGAGAGTAATGTGGAAATCATCTGCCCCACAGGTTTGGGGAAGGTGTGGGATGGGGGTATACTGTGGTTTTTGGTGGTGGAGAATGGGCACTGGTGAAGGTACGGGTGTTTCATTGGATGACCGAGACTTAGACCCGAAAGCTTTGTAACTGCTCTCACTGTGATTCAATAAATAAAATTAAAAAAAATGGGGGAAAAAAGTAAGGTGAAGTTCATAAACAATCAATCAGCTAATCAGTGGCTGAATAAATAGCAATACTGTTACATAAAAAAAATGACCTGGGTTATGATCATGAGACCAGTTTGAGAGAATATTGATGCCAAACTGGTACTGCAAATCAGAAACTGCTTTTCCTTTCTCAATTATGATTGAAAACAGAATAACATAAAATTGGAATCAAGACTTGAATGTTTTTTACTGTCTAAATTTTAATCTTTACTGAAATTTGGTAATTTTCTCTGGTGATGTAAGTTTGTTAAGAAAAGATTTATAAGAAACTAACTAAATTGTAAAGTACCCATACAATATATAAAATCTAAATGAAGATTTGGTTAGTTTTAGTCAGGCTATTGGCAAGGTCTGTCCACTTACATGTTTATTCAGAATACCTTGCAGGCTGAGGGTTTCTACACATTATCTTACAGCTCTTTGAACTTCACTTATATGTGTTCCACTGATTTGTGGAGATGCTCTCCCACAAAGTGTGAAATTTAACTGATTGCACAAAATGTGTTAATTTAATGACATCAAAATACATTATATTGATATCTTCTTCACGTTATTTAAGAATGAAGCTTTCTATGAAATATTCTAACAGACCTAATACGGACTTGTTTTTATTTGTTTTTTTCTGAATGATTGTTCATTGGGGTCAATATTTTGTGCAGAGATTGTCTTGCTCTTGCCTTGATTTCAGCATCTAACTGAGTTCTTGACATAAATGAGATCAATACAAGTCTGTGGAAGTTAATAAAAGAGTTGACCAAAAGCATAGTTTTAAATTTATGCATGAACTTCTGGACTTCTATGCTGAGTACAGAAAAAACTAACTTTATTTTGTAGTGGTGATGTTATTTTATATCATGAATAAAAATTATAAAGTCATTTGAATTTATTTTGAATTGTTTGAGAACAAATTAGAGGATATGTGTGTTTGATTCTTTAATGTTGACAAAAATTCAATGAGGGTGCTGTTATCATTGTCTAAGAATAAAATCAGGACTCTTTATAGCAACTTTTTACAAGACCAGTTAAATCTATAAAACTGTTAGGAAGCATTCTAAGAAAACAGTACTTGTATTATGTGAACTCACAGACTTTTAAATAACTATGTAACACACATTGATCATGTCCAGTTATGCACATATTTTAATTAAGAAATGGAATCACATTTTCTTTTTTTTATTAGTTTAGTTTTACTTTGGGGCCTTCAGTATCTGTACTTAGGGCTTACTTCTAACTCTGCTTAGAGATCATTTCTAGAGGGGCTAAGAGATCATATGGGGTGCCAAGGATCAAACCCAGGTCAGCTGCATTCAAGGTTAGTATCTTACCTGTTGTTCTATCTTCCCAGCCGCAAAAGAATTACGTTTTCTTTTTACTACTATATTTAAACACCATGGTTTTTCAAAATTGTTCATGATGCTGTTGTTATGGGCTTTCGATGCTCCAACACCAACACCTGAGTGATCTTCCCTCTACCATTGTACCCATTTTCCAACCAGCCCCTCATCGGACAGAAAATAATTTGTTTTATATTGTTTGTTAGAACCAAATGGCTGAAAGAAACTTTGTGAAAATTGTTATATCCAACCACAGTTTAGGTTAATCTAACTATAGTTATATATATGCATATGTATGCATATATATAACATCTAAGGATTTATTTGTCTGATGTTAAATCCTTTGAGAATTAACCAAGCTGTTTATTGCTATTTGAGCCTTCTGTGTTACGGGTTATGCTAGTTTAATTTAGTTGGCTTCTATGTCACTTTTCCATCTAATTTGGTGTGATCCTGCTAGAATTTCAGTAATGTGGAATTTGGAGGTATTTAGAAGTTTCAATATCTGTAGAACTGGGTTGAGTCTGCAGAAATTTTTAGTGAATCTGTAGAGTTGGACTGTGGGTGTGACTGTAGCAGTGGAGTGTGCGTGCAGCTGAAGGGGCTTCAGCAGTGCGGGGATTCAATCCACCCCCTCCCAGGGCATCCAAGAGCTTTCAGTGAAGAATTTCATGAACTGGTGTGTCCATAAATTTTAGCTACTTGACTTGAATCTTCTTGAATGTTTAGTTTATGAGAGAAGAACAGGGTGATATGTGAATCAGCATGGTGCTGGCTGTCAGAATTATGTTGTCATGCATAATTTTTGTTTGGTTATTGTTTTCTTATTTAAAACTGTTGTCAAAGAGAGTTGTAGCCATGCACCCATAATTCTAAGCAGCTAATTATGGCCCTCTGTTCAGGAGTGACCCCTGGCTGTGTTTACTCATTGTTAATATTTGCCCTCTTCATTGTTCCTCTGCTGTAGTAACTAACTCGTGCGGTATTAAAATATAATTGTGTCTAATTATTAATCCTTTAAAGGACATCAAATTTTTGTCATATTATTGAGCTCAATGGTCCCATATGAAAATATATTAAGACATTGAGTTAAAAATACAAATATGTACTTAAAATATGCTTGAGTAAATTGTTCTACTCAGTGAAACAAGTGTAGGAACAGATGCATATTTGTTTGTACATTTTCAATTTATAGCCATAATTATACAAATTTAAGAACTGTTTCCAAGATTAGAATATTCCAAGAATATTGTTTCCAAGATGCATTTTTATATTTTAACTCTAGGAACAGCTCAACCTCAATCAAAGAGGATATGAAATTGACCAACTGTTTTGGCACTGTGTGGCTGCCTGGTATTGTGTGGAGAAGGATAGTCCGCAGTTGGAAAAGGTGCTGAAACATCTTATCCTTCACAAGACACAGCTTCAAAAGAATAGCTGGTAAGAGGAAGTATTTCAATCCACAGTAATTCATGGAGAAATCTTTGTATTTAAATGTTAAATAAACTATGTAAATAAAATGTTAATTACACCTTGGTTGACTATGAAAATAATTTATAATTCCAATTCCAAAGGTAAGAGCAATTTATAGATTTTGTATCCATTCATTTCACAAATAAATTGTACTTCTCCCTTTTTGTGGCTAGATGTGTGAATAAGTTTTGTATACATTTTTCTTATTAAATATAATTTGCTATTGATAAGCAGTCTATGCTCACATTTAAAACATTCAGTATTTTCCAAGTACTCTTTTTAAACAGCAGTGAAGAGCAATTTATTATCTTTGGATGAAATATACTAACATTGTATTTTTCATGCCTTGCTTGTAAAATATGACAATTATTTGCTTATTTCTGTCTGTACTCAAATGAATTTGAGAAGGAAAAAAATACCCTGAGTTACTAGAAGAGAGGGTATGGACACATTGAGGAGAATATTGTTTAAGGAACATTTTTTTTTGCTGCCTCAATGTTCTTTTTTATTATTATTATTATTATTAGTGAAACACCATGAGGTACAGTTGTAGATTTACAATTTTTTGTACTTGGGTTTCTATTATACAATGATCAAATACCCATCCCTCCACCTCCACCAGTGCCCATTTTCCACCACCATGGATAATACCCCTCCCACCCCCATCCCCCCCATCCCACCCTGCCTCTGTGGCAGGGCAATCCCTTGTGTTCTCTCTCTCCTTTTGGGTGTTGTGGTCTGCAAAAGAGGCATTGAGTGGCAAACATGTTCAGTCCATAGTCTACTTTCGACATGCATTTTCCCTCCTGGGAGGATTCTCCAAACACCCTTTATTTGGTGCTCCCTTCTCTATCTGAGCTGCCCTTTCCCCTAGAATGCCTGGCTGGCCTCTAATCTATGGAGTAATTTTAAAGTACGAATCTGTCTCCCTTTCTAGTGTTTGTGGTAATCTGAAGTTTTTAATTGCATTTCTAATGCTAATAATAATAATAATAATAACCTTTATTGTTAAATGAGTTATAGATCACTTATCAAATTTTACTTACGATTAGTTTTTGTTTTTTGAAAACAAACTCTTTGATCTCTAAGCATAGAACTAAGACTACTAAGGAAGGTGGTAAAAAAGGGTTATAAGATGGAGGGAATGTGATGGAGGGATGCTGATGGTGATGGAATGTAACATACATTCTGAGGAGGTGTGAAATTACACCCGTGGAACAGATATAGTTTCATAAATCAATATTACCTCAGCAAAAATAGCCCTTTAACCTGTTCCGTCCCCTTTTGTGTTGACTTTGTTGTGGGTTCCCATACTTACAGTGCTTGTTGGGGTCATACTCATTTAGTTATGCTCACACAAAACTGGCTAGTGCCTGGAAATCCTATCATGCTGGAATCTCAGACATCAAGTTATAATGTAATGTTCAAGAACACCTTATTTCTTTTATTTTCACAAAACTTTTGCCTTAATTTTATTTATTTAATTTTTTGAGTACAGATATTTGTGTTTTAGAGGTACAATGTTGCCACACCACACTCACCACTGAAGTGCAGGCAGTTCACTGGACTCTTTCTTTCTACTCATCCTGGCCACCAACGCACCCACAAAACTAATCACTAAGTAACAAGTTTTATTTTCATAGTTAAAGGTTTGTTCTCATTGGACATGGTCTGTTGATTGCTTTCTATATCAACTATTAGCGAGATAATCTAGTATTTTTTCTTTCTCTTTCTGATTTATTTTGCTTAGCCTAACATCTGGCCCCTGCCCCTGCCCCTGACCCCCTTCAGTTACATTTTATTGAAGAAAAAAGAAAGAATTTATTTTTTTCTTATAGCTGTGTATTGTGTTATGTACGTATGCTTACCATAAGTTCTTTACCTACTCAACTATCATTGGACAATTGGGTTGTTTCCAGATCCTAGTTATTATAAATAATACTGCAGTAAATTTAGGTGTGCATTTTAATAGCATGTCTTTTCATTGTCATTTATTCTTCGTGGGATTTATGAAATAACCTTAAGTCTATAGTAAAAATATATTTGGTATCCTGTAAGAGAGCATTTATAGTGGTGCAGTGTTCTCTGAGTGCTCATTCAAATTTATATTCTCTTTAGCCCCTGCTAATTTATGCTTTTCAGTAGTCTTACAAAGAGCCCCTCTACATTTTCCATTTATCATCCTAGAACTAAGAGAAATCAATAAATCTTGGTACTTTAAGGGAAATATCTATGTCCACAACACACACAGTAGAGTCGCTTAAAGCAATATTGCTCGAAGCGCACAAGAATCACTAGAATCCCGCAAAGCAGTAATGCTCAACGTGCAGTAGAGTCACAATAGAATCCCATGAAGCAGTAAGGCTCAATGTGCAGTGAAGCCAGGTGCTTCCTCACAGCCTTCTACTGCTGAAGGAGAAATTATGCTCCAGTATCCTGCCTACAGCACTTCTTCCTACCACCTACCTTATTCACGTATCCACGCTACATAAACAAAATATGGTTTTCTAACTTTAAACTAGATGTTGTGATTTCTGAATATATATGAGGGTAACAGGATGAATCTGCCAATATCCAATATGCCAAATACCAGTAACAATGATGGGTCTCATTCTCCTAAAGAGCCTTGAATATAATCTCAGGGCTAGAATGAAAGAGACGTTACTGGGGCCTGCTCGATATAATTGATGAACAACAGGATGAACCAGGGAGATAATACTCTTGACAAGATATCAGTATTAGTGATGGAGATTTGTGATAGAGACTGTTATTAGCATATAAAAGAGCCTGAGTTTGATCCCTGATCAAACTGAGTATAGTCCAAGTTGCCCAGGGCTATAGGGAGAACCTAAGAACATTATAAAGTGCAAACATTCCTGGCCTTTTTAATAAGGATACTTATATAGATAGACATATAAGAGACATCCACGATATTGGCAACTATTGCCCAATCTGCCTATTGTCTGTCATCTACAAACTATTCACTCGAGTCATCCTGAATAGGATTAGCAGAACACTAGATGAAGGACAACCATGTGAACAAGCTGGATTCCGAAAAGGATTCAGTACCATCGACCATATCCACACAGTAACCAAGCTCATTGAGGTATCTCGGGAGTTCAAGATACCACTCTGTCTAACGTTCATTGATTTAAAGAAGGCCTTTGATTCTGTTGAGACGGAAGCGGTCATAGAAGCCCTAGCCAATCAGGGCGTACAAACTCAATACATCAGGATCCTTCGTGAGCTCTATTGCGGATTCACTACCAAGATCTCACCATTCTACAAAGAAGTAATCAACCATATCAAGAGAGGGGTTCGGCAGGGTGATACCATTTCACCAAAACTCTTCAGTGCCACCCTCGAGAACATCATGCGACGGCTGGAATGGGAAAACATGGGAGTGAAGATAGATGGTCGGCAACTACACCACCTCCGCTTTGCTGATGACATCGTTCTAATAACACCAAACATCAACCAAGCGGCACAAATGCTGAACGACTTTGACCGTGAATGTGGAAAGGTCGGACTAGAGCTGAATCTTGCGAAGACAATGTTTATGAGAAACAGCCTTGTTCCTGACGCTCCATTCGCTCTCAACGGAACCACCATCTCCGAATGCAACAGTTATATATACCTAGGTCGAGAAATCAACATGATGAATGACCTGGCACCTGAGTTGCGCAGGAGGAAGAGAGTGGCTTGGAATGCCTTCAAGAGCATTGAAGAAATAACTAAAAGGACAAAGAACCTCCAGCTACGAGCACATCTCTTTGATTCCACTATTCTTCCTGCATTAACATATGCCTCAGAGACCTGGACCCTACGAAAACAGGATGAGAACACTATTCGGGTCTCTCAAAGAGGAATCGAAAGAACTATGCTTGGAATATCACGATTCACTCAAATGAGAGATAGAATCCGGAGTTCTGATCTTCGTCAACGCTCAAGAATCAGGGACGCTGTCTCATTTGCCAAGACATCAAAAATCAGATGGGCTGGACATGTAATGAGGTTTACAGACAACCGCTGGACTAGAGCCATTACTGATTGGATTCCACGAGACATCAAAAGATCACGTGGACGCCCACCTATAAGATGGTCAGACTTCTTCGTCAAGACCCTAAATGATCGGTTTGAGGCTCTACATGTTCCTAAAACGAACAGATACCATTGGGCTACGCTAGCACGCAACCGGGATGAATGGAGACGTTACTGGCACCCGCTCGAATAAATTGATGAATAACGGGGATTAAGTGATTAAGTGATTAAGTGATATAGATAGATATGCTGAAAGTTTATTGTGGAGCTTAAATTGTTATTTAAGCTTACTTATATTAATGTAGAAAGAATACATTGGAGTCAGTATAGCTAAAGTCTAGTTTTGGATCTAGTACTGTCTGGCTAGAAGACTTATTCACATTATTTTCCTGTTTATCATGAACTGTGGGGAAGGAGGTATGGGGTTTAGTGTTTTTGTTTTATGGTTCTAGGGAAAAATATCAGGGTCTCACACAAATGACATGTGCACTACCAATGAAATATATTTCTTGTCTCTTATATTGATTTTAAATCTTAAAGGAAATTTGCAGCCTTGCAGGCCAGAAAGATAGTACGGGGTTTAGGCACTTCCCTTACACAGAGCCAAGCTAGCCTGGTCTCCATCACCATCTGTGGTTCCCTAAGAAATGTTAGGAGTAGCCCCTGAGAACAGAGCAAGGAACAGCTTATCATCATTATTGGGAATAACCCGAACATCCTCCAGCCCCTACCATCCAGAGTTTGTAATCAGTAGTATTGATTAAACATAATCATTTTTGATGAAGCATTTTTCTATCTTAGATGACTGATAGAAGAAATTTTTTACAGATAGTAACACTTACATAACACAGCGGGTAGGGCGTCTGCCTTGACTAAGGAGGGCTGGAGCAATAGCACAGCGGTAGGGCGTTCGCCTTACAAGCGGC